ATTTCGTTTTATTTGGATCTGCAATCTGCGCCCATAGGAAGTGCAGTCAAGAAATTAAACTATGTATTGAATTGGGCAGATTTGCTGCAAAAAACCTCTTTAAAGTGTGAAAAAATAAAGATGTCACTTTGAGTGCTAAGTCATGTTTTTTTCAGTTGCCTAATATGCAAGAGGAAGACCCCTAACGAGATGGATTGGCCAGGTGGCATGATTGATGGACTCAAGTGTGGCAGCGGTAGTGAGGTTGGCCCAGGATCGGACGTTGTTTCGTTCTGCTGTGCATGGGGTCACTATGAGTTGGTTCCGACTCGATGGCACCTGACAACAACAACAACAACAATATGCATGCAGAAACTGGACAATTAATAAGAAAGAAGCAGAATTGATACATCTGCAATGTAGTGTTGGCAATGAATAGTGAATATATTATGGGCTTCCAGATTAGCAAATAAATATGTCAGTACAAGAAGTACAGTCAGAATACTATTTAGAAGCAAAGATAGGGACACAAGATCTCATATAATTTGGATACATTATCCAGAGGGACTAGTGCCTGGGAATGAACATCATTCTTGGCAAAGCCGAGGGTCAGAGAAAAAGAAGAATTGATATGATGGACTAACACAGTGGCTTTAACAAAGGGCTCACACACAGCAATGCCTATGAGAATGGTACAGGACAAATCAGTGTTTCATTCTCTAGTACACACGGTTGTTATAAGTACTAACTGACATGATGGCACCTAACAACACATTATTATGACAAACAGAAAGTAAATGCTTCTCTTGATATAAATGGAAAATTTGTGAGGAAGGGATTGTAAGGAATTGGTAAAAATTGGAACTTATGTAGAAAAAGAATGTGTAGTGGAGGAAACTGTCTATAACAGTCAGGAAATTTGCTCAAGAAGCATGAGATCTTCAAATTAGAGTTCATGATTTTTTTTTTTTTTTGGCACGCTGTAGCTATTTTCTTTTTCTTTTTAAATGTTTTATTGTGAATTATGTGATAGTTTACATGGGAGAACATTAGCTTTACATTCATTCTATTGTTTATCGTTTCATTGCCATGGTTACAATCCCCTCCATGCATCATCAACCAACCAAAGGGTATACACTACAAGCCTGCACCCTGGTCTTCAGCACACAGCTCCTCTCCCTCTCTGCATCTAATGTCCCCAGATGCTCCATCTCTTCACATCATCATATCTGCCTCTATCTCAGGCATCACTGCTTCTCTGGGTAGGGTCCCGCTCTCTGCTCTTCTCCCTTAATGGTCCCAGGGACCTCCGCTCCTAGACTGAAATGTTAATCACTCCCCTCTTTGCTATAAAATGTCTACCTTTACATTTCCAACCCTCACAATCAGTCTTGATAACAATTATTCACTATTGTATCACAAGAAACCTATCTGCATTACATTTCATCAGCCCCAACCAGACAGGTTATATACTACTCAGTGGAGATTCTACCTTCCTCCAGGCTATCTGGATCTAGGTTCCCTCTTGAAAGCTTGTAAGCCAGTCACTTCTTGCCTTTGTAGCCCCCTGCCCCCCATTTTGGGTAGCCAATGTCCTGCTGTAGCTTCTTATTGCATAATTTTCTTCACTATTGCCTTGTGGGTAAAGGGAAGAGAAAAATAACTGTATAAATTTATGATTTGAATAACTAATTTAATGTAATATGTTACAATGAAACAAACAAACAAAAAGCTCCATTTGGACTTTGTTTGGCTTTCTGTTTGTCTATCCTATACAATTTGAGAAGGAGCCCTGGTTTCATAGCCAGGACTGACTCCACAGCACACAACCACCACCATACAATTTGAGAGCTAAAATAATTGCCAGACCTACTGTAGCCTGCTCTAGTCTTTATTTATTTATTTATTTTTTAAAAGATAAAGTTAATGTATTAGTCAAGATAAACTGAGGTTTGACATGGTGACAAATGAATCCTGAAATCTCAGTGGCTTAATACATACAATTTTGTTTCTGTACTGCAGCTTTAAGGAGTCCAGGTAGCATAGTGGGTTATGCATTAGACTGCTAACAGTGAGGTCAGAAGTTTGAATCTACCAGTCTCTCCACTGGAGAAAGATGAGGCTTTCTGCTCCTGTGAAAGTTACAGCCTTGGAAAACCTATACAGGGTTGTTATGATTTTGAACCACCACCACCACCATTGAAGCTTTAGTAATCTCTAGAGCAGCTGACTGTATGTCTTAACTCAGTAATCCAGGTTGGTTTCTCTATGTAGATCTGCCATCTCAGTGTGTTGCATCAGGGAAAAGAAAGCTGGAGAGTTGTGTTGCAGGCCGTGCAGAGGTTCGAGGCCCTATACGCCTGAGTGTAACAGATCTAGCCACTTGGCAGTTAATAGCAAATTGTTTTTCATCTTAGTGTTCAGTTATATTTATTTAATTCCAAACATGAGCCCTGGATGTCCACAGAGAAATGCAATATTTCCCTAAGTTTTTAAGGTCAAGATTTTCCCCCTAGAACCAAGGCAGTAAAACTTCCTCAGAGGACGAACAAGGACAGGTTTACTGGGATTAAGCAGGGAGGCTCTGGAGAGGAACTGCCCGGGGTATATTCACTTGGGGTGGAGTGGTAAATTCTGGGAATACGGGATTAAGGACAATGGGGACAACGCCCTCGGACCACCCTGGGTTCAATCAGTTTGATCCAAGTGAAGGTTAAATCCAGTAAGGAAGAAAGGAATATTGGTTTAAGTAAGGTTTACTGGCTTAATTTATTTTAAAGATTGTCTTGTCTGAATAATACCATTCTTCTTCTGTAAAGATCCCTCCCTGAAAGAGAGGACATAAAAAACGGACACGGACTTAAGTCTGCGGACATTAGTGCTTGCAGGGTATGAAGAGGCTGTCTGCTGGTTTTGCATCTACTCTGGTCACCGAGTGTTTCTTTTCTCTCTCGCCTCTCCAGACATCCCACCTAGAGTTAGTCCAAGAAGGGAAAATGTCAGCCACTGAGGAGTCTGTCTGGCAGCTTGCATCAAGCCTGTGTGTCTGTCTTCTTTGTATCTGTTTTCTCTGTCTTCTTTGTGTCTGATTTTTCTCTATCTCTCTCTCGCACGCCATCATCGCCGGACACCCCATCTTTGGGTACCCACCCCCTTGCCGAGGCCAGACCCTGGAAGAGTTGCACATTGGCTCCTAAATGTTTCATCCTAAATGTAACACACATTCTGTAAGATAAACACATGATCCAACTTAGACATAAGTGGATTAGAAAAGATGGTAGGGACACATGGATACTTGTGATCGGCAAATAGGTTGGCTACAACTGAGGAAAACTGATCTCCAAGTTTGAAATGAATAGTTTATTAAATGATTGAATATTCATCTTTAGGAGTTCTGAGTTAGATAGATTGTTAGCTGCTCCATTCAGAGGCACCTTGGAAGAAAGACCTGTTAAACTGCTTCTGAAAGGCAATACTCATTGAAAACACATTGCACACTTCTCCTGTGAAGCACATGGTGCCACCATTAGTTGGAATTGACTCTATGGAAAGTGGTTACATTTATTGTATGTTTCACACAAAATATAGAGAGAGTCTGTGAAAATGGGGGAACCTTTAATGAGATGGATTGACAATAGCTGCAAAAATGCACCGACAATCATAAACATAACTCAGGAGCAGACCATTTTGTACTGTCATGCATTAAGACCCACAGGAATTAGTGCTGACTCAATGTCATCTGAAAATAACAACAACAACAACAACAACAAAACAACAAAACAACATAAGCAGATTATGGAGTCATTTGAGTTAAATCAGTTTTTAAGTAGATAAACACAAAGCACTAAGATCTGGAAGAATTTTTTCTTGACCCGATCTACATCCACTTATTTTACCTGGATTTTTCACGTACAATTGGATTTTAGGTGTTGATGTCTCTAAATGACTCTGCTTGTCATTAGTCTACAATCGGTCCACAGTTTCCCTTTCAAATTTTTATGTGTGGGTTTTCTGCCTTGACTACTCAGATATCATCAATGTTCTCTCTTTTGTACCAGATAATTTAGCTCCTACTAGTTAAGGGACAAATCCATGCAATAAAGCTTATTTTGGAGGTGAAGTGTTTGATAGTTTGTGTTTGACAGAAAATGTGCTCTACAGATATCTTCTACCAGAGACTATCACATGTAAGGTTGTTCTGTGATTGTACCTAAAAGAATTTTATATCCCTCCTTGGCTTTAGGAAGAAAAAAATAATTATTCTGAACAGAGCCTGATTGTAATGTAAATGGTACCCCCCCCCCCCCCCCACCGGAGTTGGAGTTGTGCAACATAATAACATTAACTTTGAAAGAGTCTTGCATTAATGAGCCTCTCACATTACTCAAAAACCATTCAAATTTGGTTGATTCTGTTGTCTTAAAATCTTGAATCTACCTTAACTTTAGTAGTTGGGAATGAACCTATGCATTTCCCACAAAATACTTACCAATGGGAACTTTTGCTTAAATATTTTAAACACCTGGCCTATTTGGAGTCCTGGTGGCACTGTGGACTAGATGTTGGGCTGAAACTGGAGGTCCTAATTTAAATCTCACATCTGTTCAAAGGGAGAATAATGAGACTGTATGTTCTGCTAGATATTTGCAGTCTTGAAAACCCTATGTAGGCTCACTTAAAGTTGGAATTGACTCAATGGCAGTGGGTTTTTTAACCTGACCTGTTGGTTATGTAATCTATACCTGAGATTTTGCAGAGTTGCTCTACTAAATACAAAATGCTAAGGATTTCTAATACACTGAAACATTTTTATGTCAGTAAGCAATATCCCTTTGACCAGGAATTTGTAAATGTAAAGAAGCTTTTAATTGGAAGATATTTGAGTCATTTAATCAAATCCTTACATTTTTAAAAAGAGGAAATCACATACCACAACTTGAAGACCACTGTCCTATTCATTAGTCACACTTGTGTTTAAATCTGATTAGATTTTGTTTTTATTTTTTCTATTTGCATTAATTTTACCTTATGATCACCCTGTGACTCCAGAGCTTCCTCATTGCATTTTTTACCTCTGCATTTCTCAGGGTGTAGATTAAAGGATTTAACATGGGAGTGACCATAGTGTAAAACACAGCCACTGCTTTATCAATGGGGAAAGTGATCATGGGCCGAAGGTACACAAATATACAGGGTACAAAGAATAAGATGACTACAGTAACATGGGAGGTACAGGTGGAAAGAGCCTTTTTCTGTCCTTCAGAGCTGTGAGTTCTTAGGGAGCAAAGGATGAGGACATAGGAGGTGATAATAATAGAGAAAATGAGTACACACATCAGCCCACTGTTGGCAGCAACAAAGAGTCCAAATATGTATGTGTCAGTGCAGGTGAGTTTCAACAAAGGGAAAAGATCGCAAATGAAATGATCAATAACATTTGGGCCACAAAAGGGTAACCAGACCATAAAAAGAACTTGAACTAGACCATGAAGAAATCCTCCAGACCAGGCCAGGGTCACCAGGAGGCCACATACCCGCCCGTTCATTGTGCTCATGTAGTGTAGGGGTTTGCAGATGGCCACATAGCGGTCATAGGCCATCACCGTCAGTAGGATGATTTCCACTCCTCCAAAGAAATGCTCTGCAAAGAGCTGAGTCATGCACCCAGTGTAAGAGATGGTTTTCTTTTTAGTTAGTAAGTTAATCATCATTTCAGGGGCCATTGTAGAAGTGAAGATGCAATCTACAAAGGATAGGAAGGACAGAAAAAAATACATGGGGGAGCTTAGGGCTTGACTGGTGGTGATGGTTACTACGATGAGTAGGTTGCCTGCTAAAGTGAACAGGTAGATGATTATAAACACCACAAACAAAATTTTCTGAACAACTGAGTTCTGTGTCAGGCCAAGCAGGATGAATTCTGTCACGTTGTGTACTTGCCCCATGGATCCAGTATGGCATTTGGATTTTGAACTATCTGTAAATGTACAGTGATTTTATGTAAGCATTGGACTGTGAACCATAAGTTCTGCAGTTCAAGCCTGCCTGCTGTTCAGCAGGAGAAAGATGAGGCTTAATGTTCCAGCGAAGATTTAAAGCCTTGGAAATCCTATTACAGGGTCACGATGCATCGGGACCAACTCCATAGCACTTAACAACAATACAACTGCGACTGCAACGTTGACAGGTAAATTTTGATTAAGCAAATAATTTATCAGAATTTCATGTTTTCAATATTCAGGCTAATTGTAGCCCTGAGTAGAGAAACCCAGTTCAATTATGTTTAGATCACATAATGGACATTTGGAATCCTGGTGTGGCACTGCGGGTTAATGTGCTGGACTGCAAAGTCATTTGAACCGCAAGTTCCGTGGTTCAAACTCACCAGTCGCTCCTTGGAAACCCTATACGGGGTTGCTATGAGTTGGAACTGACTTGACAGCACTTAACAACGACAATGCACATATAGCCCTCTTCTGCATACACACATGCACACTCACAAACACTCACAAACTCACATATACACATAAATCCAATCACTTGTACACACACTCACCAGTACACTTACATCCACCCCCCCACACAAACTCACATCTACTCACACACACTTGCACATATCCACACTCACAGACATACATTCCTGCACACTCACATACAAACTCATGCAAATATATACACTTTCATGGTCAATCACACACTAATATACACAGACACACATACACTCATTTGCAAATGTAGTTTATAACAGTTAATAGGCACAGCACCTGTCTGTAACTGTAAGTTGGCAGATCCTCTCCAAATCACTGGTATGTAGTTTCTCCCACCGTAAAACAGGAATAAAAAGATGAACCATAAAGAGGAGCAGAGGTTTGAATTCATAAGAGTCCTCTTGGCCAGTTCCTTTTTTAATCACTCATTCTGATGAGGTGAAGTGGTTGAGTTTGTTAATCTTGTTATTTTTAACTTGTTACGATATTAATACAAAGCACCACTTGGGTTCTATTTGAAATAAGGGAATATTTAGTTATATTTCAGAACCAGTTGAATTAAATAAATGTTTGAGATTATAGTAGGGCACACTGTGGCAGTTAGATTTTTGAGCTTATACCATAGGGGGTTCTCTTCCAAATGAAGAGGAAATCAAATAGATTTAAAGATATAATAAAGCAAATAAAAATAAACCAAACTGTGACCCTAACAATGAAATCAAGTCTCACGTCTAGTCCTAGCCCAACTCTCAGCCCTAACACCAATCCTAGTCTTAACCCTAATCCTAGTATAAAAATTATGTGCTAGTCCTAGCAAGACATAGTCATGGTCCTAACACTAACCCTTACCATTTATTTCTACCTATTCAGGAGACCCCAAAATAATCAGACAATTTGAAATGTGTGGAAGCTATATATATATATATATATATATATTTTTTTTTTTTCCTTTAGGATATAAACTTTGACATAAGTGATAATGATATTCTTCAATTACTTCATGCTTTTTGTTATTTCCCCCATTTTATTGCAATCAACTCACTAGCAATTGTTTGTATACGTATGGAAACGTTATGGCTCAGTAAGACAAAGGCCCACATATAAAGATTCATATGTAACCTGGCTTCAAATTGGTGAATCAAAATGAATTCACAGAAATAAAATTGACTACATCTGTGGAAAGAGATGGTGGAAAAAAGCTCAATATCATTAGCCAAATCAAGGCCAGGGGCAAATGAGGAGCAGTCCACCAATTGTGCATATACAAGTTCAGGATGAAGCTGAAGAAAGCTAAAACAAATTCACTAGAGTCAAAATATGATACTGAATAGATCCCACCAGGTTTAGAGAACATCTCAAGAACAGATTTTTGCATTAAATATTAATGACCAATGACCAGAAGAGCTGTGGGATGACATCAAGAACATCATCATACAGGAAGAAAGAAAAGGATCATTAAAAAGACAGGAAAGAAAGAAAAGAACAAAATGAATGTCAGAGGAGACTCTGAAACATGCTCGCCAGCGTAGAAATGCTGAAGTGAATGGAAGAAATGAAGAAGTCAAAGAACTAAACAGAATCTTTCAAAGAACAGCTCGATAAGACATAATAAAGTATTATAATGATATGTGCAAAGTCCTGGAATTAGAAAATCAAAATGGAAGAACATGCTCAGCAGTTATCAATGGAAAGAACTGAAGAAAAATTCAAACCTCGACTTGAAATATTGAAGGACTGCACGAGAAAAAATATTGACTGATACAGAAAACATCAAAAGAAGATGGAAAGAGTCACTGTACCTAAAAGACATTGTTAATGTTCAACTATTTTAAGAGGTAGTATATGATAAAAAACTGATGGTACTGAAGGAGGAAGTCCAAGATGCGTTCAAGGTTTTGGTAAAAAAAAAAAAAAAAGCTCTAGGATTTGGCGGAATACAAATTGAAAAATTTCAACAAAGTCAGCACTGGTGTCACTCATTCATATATTCCAAGAAATTTAAAAGACAACTACCTAGGCAAATGATTGGAAAAGATCCATATTTGTGCCCATTCCAAAGAGAGGTGACATAATGGAACACAGAAATGATAAAAAAAAATTAATATAAAATGCAAGTCAAATTTTGCTAAAGATAATTTAAAAATGGATACAACAATACTGGTTTGGCGCTATGGGTTAATGTGCCAGACTGCAAAGTTGGTTTCAACCTCAGGGTCAGCGGTTCAAGCTCACCAACGGCTATGGGTCAGAACTGACTCAATAGCACTTAACAACAACAATAGTACATTAACAGGGAACAACCAGAAATTCAAGAAAGATTCATATGAGGATGTGTGACTAGGCATATCATCGCTGATGTCAGATTGGCTTTATTGACTATTCAAAGGCTTTCAAATGAGTGGACAAGCAATGGATTACATTGTGAAGAATGGATATTCCAGAACACTTAATTGTGTTCATTAGGAAGCTGTACAGAGACCAAGAGGCAGTTTTTCGAACAGAACAAGGAGATACTGATTGGTTTGAAATGAGGAGATGTATGTGTCAGGACTGTGTTCTGTCATATTTATTCAATTTTTATGCTGCACAAATAATCTGAGTAATTGAATTATATGAGTCTTCTTTCAACCATCAGATTGGAAGAAGACTCATAATAACCTGCAATATGCAGATGATACAATATTGCATGCTGACAGTGAAGAGGACTTAAAATATTTATTGATGAAGATCAAAGACCACAGCCTTCAGTTTGGATTGCACCTCAATATAAAGAAAACAAAAATCCTCACAAATGGACTCATAAATACAATCATAAATGAAAAAAAAATGAAGTTGTCGAAGACTTCATTTTGCAGAAGTAAAGAAGTAAAATCTGCTGCCCAAGACCCCTTTAAAGTGTTCAAGAGGAAAGACATCAGTTTGAGGACTAAGGAGTGCCTGACCCACGTTATGGTATTTCCAACAGCTTCAACGTTGGACAATGAATAAGGAAGGCCATAGAAGAATTGATGCATTTGAATCATTGTGTTGGAGGGGACTATTGAAAGTACCATGGACTGCCAAAAGAACAAGCAAATTTTGGAAAAAGTATGGGCAGAATGCTCCTTAGGAGCCAGGATGTTGAGATTTTGTCTCTCATACTTCAGACATATCCGGAGAGATTAATCCTTGGAGGAGGACATTATGGTTGGGGAAAATTGAGGATCCTTGAAAAAGAGTCAGATCCCTTACCTGATGGACTGACACAGTGGCAGCAGCAATGGGTTCAGTAATTGTGAGGATGACTCAGGCCCCGGCAGTTTTTGTTATATTGAGCATAAGGTTACTATAAATGAGTTGGAGCCAACTCCACAGCACCTAACAAGAACAGACAGTGAATGTGATGTTATATGTGCTTTCCATTCACTTCTTAATTAGGAATTAGAGAACAAAAATGGGAAAATGACATAAAAATGTTATCCTTGAAACATTTGCTATTAACTATAAAAAACCCAGTTATATTAGGAAAAATAATTTGAATGCAAAATGAACATGTCATATAATAGCAAACATACCTGATAAATAAATTCCAAAGACTGTTGGCATTTAAGAATTCTAAGAAAACAGATGAACACAGTTAAGCTCATTAAGAATGAAGTGCTGGGTAGAATGGGAGCAAAATGTGGAACAAAGCTCAAAGTCATAAGAAAGATCAGCCTTACTGATCAGACTGGTGGAACCTTTGAGGTTATGGCCCCTAGTCACCTTTCAGGTCTGGAAATGAACTTACATCCTTGACTCAATTCACAGCCAAACAGTGGACAAATTTATAAAGGGAACAATAACACCAGATACCTATGTACATCTTAACGTAAGCAACCATTTGATATCAGAAAACAATGCTTAGAAAGTTAAGGAAGAAATGAATGGAAACAGACACATAGGGAGGAAGTGGAGTAAGTAATATTACATTGTGGGTATTGCAGTCAATGATAAGGAACAAAATGTGAATGAATTGTTGAATGGAAAACTGATCTGCTCTGTAAACTTTCACCTAATTTACAATAAAGAATTTTTTTAAAAAGTAATTAAGTATAGTCAAATATCAAAAGAACATTAATTTTTAGACTATCAAAAGAAAATTATGTGTAGCTAAATGGAGCTTTTCCTAAATTAATTTATTACATTTTGCAAAACAGTGTAAGTCCTCTCTTCATGCCTTAAACAAAAAGAATAGGAAAAGGAAGAAAAGAAGCAAAATAAGAATTTCCTATATTAGAGGCTTAAAATAAAGCAAAATATGTTCATGAACAGAAGAGCAAAGTGAAAGATAAATATCTGATTTCTGGATGAATGCAGTGATGTAAAACACAGGACAAAGGTGATGGATTATCCTACATAGAAACATGGATTTCAAAATAGAAAACTACTTGTAACAACTGTGATAACGAACTGTTATTTTAAAAACAACACTCACA